CAACCCCCCAAGCAAACAATTAATTTCTGCGAAAAATAAGTACGGTATTCATTGCGTAAGACATGTCAACAAAAATTCAATATGGCCGCCGCCACTATGCCAGAGATTTTTTGCCTCTAATTTAATTGCTAATTTTAAGACTTCTCACTATGCTTATTATAATACGAAATTTGGTAAACTTTGATCCACATAAAGCCACATAGGCTTCAGACCCCCCACCCCCACAGGGACCTATTGAATGAGAGGTAAAAACCGTACCTCTAGACCACGACAACACCCACGTTTTGTTTTGCCAGACCTAATATGAGTTCATTTGCAAAGCAGTCGTTCGTGTGGATGCGTGCTTTGCACTCAGTTCTACCAGCTTAACATTCTTTTATCGCAAATTTCAAGGAAAACACCGAAGTTTGCGTTTTTATATGACTAACATTTTTTTTGTCCCGGGAATGAGATCCCCATATTTTCTTTACCATTGACACCCCCCCCCCAAAAAAAAAGGATTATGTTGTCTATACTCAGGGAATTTTACCGGCGTCTGTGGTGTTGCGGTTAGGAACCCCTGCCTCGGTAGTGCATAACATTCCTGAGTTCGATTCCTGTATGGGGGAATTTTTATCGAGTATCTCTGTCTTTATGCTGGGACGCTGCATTCCTCTCAGCACGGGTTAGCCTTGACAGGCAGGGTCGAAACCCGTCTCATAAATGAGATTTAAATCATGTCACTCCAGATAGCCATTAATTTTAAAAAACGCTAGGCGAACAAACAGAATGCAACAAGAATAGATTAGTTCTTTAATGATACACACTTCATGATGGACGCAAGGTTACAAAAGACGCGCTTGAAAGAGCATATTATTTTGTTCCACTCCGAAAAAGGCCACATCTGAAGCTGCTGATGTCAGAGTCTCCGGTTGTCACCGTAGAAGTATTTGTAGCCGTATAAATGATGCCAGGCCCCGAATGCACGGTCGTGATTTATAAGCTCGTTACCCCAGTCGGCTGAGGAGAGAAGGAACGTCATGATTAATGATTGTAAATAGCCACCGTAAGCTCAGTTGATATCTAGAAAGGCTATGAAGAGGACAACCCTGTTTCAAACCCACAGCGAGAGGGTCTTTAATTGAGGTTGATTGCCTAGAAGCTTTCAATGCTTTGTGCCTCATGTAATCCTCAAAGGGGCGATGAGCCCATACTATTATTCTGTACTTTACCTATCTATGACATGCTTCTTTTGATAAAGGAGATTCTAAAGTAACTGACAATGCCAAAATATATATCAAGATATAAATAAAGAAACCCTGTCTCTGAGTAATATACCAGTTGTCACCTCCCCCCCCCCTTTTCAAAAGAGAAAAAAATTTTTTAAAATCCCAACCTCCCCCACCTAAAAAGGAAAACTAAAAACCG